AATTCCCATTCCCGCCAGCATACTCCACCAATTTTCAAAAGTCTGAATCTGCTTACCATTAAGAACATCCATACTTATTCATGTGCCTACTACATACACAGAACAATACATGCAAATATAAACCCCCCCACTCAAACTTTTCCTCACCAACCTAAACAGGACACATGACCACAACACAAGACACAGACCTCTTTTTGATATACCTCGTGTCCATATCACACTGTGTAAAAACTCTATGCACATAAAGGGCCCCAAAATATGGAATTCATTACCAGAAGATATTAAAGTAACCCTGTCTGAAAATCAGTTTAAGACTTCTCAAAAGTCACTTAATCACCCTAGACTAAATGCTAAATACTCAGTACACATTTACTCACCTCTGTACTCCCACATCATAACTGAAACAATCACATTGAACCTTTTATCCATTGTTGACAGGAATATAATTGAATCATTGTTTTTCACAAAAGCATTTTAAAATATAAATATATCTTTGTATTATACAAATTTTGATTCATTCATAATTAACCCTTTGACTGTCGAAGGGCCCAATCCTGAAGTTGCTCCTGGTGTCGCAAAATATTCGAAAAAAAAAAATTATTTTTTCTTATGAAATGATAGAGAATCTTTTCCCGATTGTAAAGACACCAAAAAAACGAAATTTGATGGAAAACTGACGGAATTACGCTCTCGCGAAGTTAGCGACTTCGGCGATATTTAAAAATCGGCAATTTCGCCCACTTTGAGCCCTATTTTCGGCTAATTCCGTTATTCCAGTCAACCAAACTCATAACTATTTCTTCAGAACTCTATTTTTTCTATCGATTGAGCACAAGAAACTGCCCATTTACCGATTTCAACTACCCAATAACATGGTCAGAAGTTTGCAATTTGGCCAATTTCACAAAATTAAAAAATACGACAATTTCAAAATAAGGTCCAGAATGAACAATGCAGACATTCCTGGCTCTAAAATAAGATTTTCTTTGTTCATCAGTCATGTCTCCAGGTCCCTGTGATATTACTCTTGCTTTTTATTTTGAAATTTTATTCAAACAAAAAATAGAAGATTTACTGTTATGCAGACTACTGCAATACTGTAATAATTGTAAAAATTACATCAACCCATTCATGACTGCGTATTAGAATGGCTATTTGGACATTTATTGGACAATGACATCATTTGTTTACTTTTGAACATCGGCAAAAATCAAACATTTCCTGTACTTTGTGCTCCATTTCCAGGTTCTTTTTATAGTAAAATTAATCAAAATCACCTCCATTTCTATAATATAGTTTCCATTCTATCAAATGAGACCATGAAAACGAGAATACAACCACAAATACTATACGAAAATAGACCACAAAGTCGGCATTTTAATTAAAAAAAACGGTCGGAGTTTTTTTTTTCTCATTATGCACTGCGTGCTCCAGGATTTTTTTTATGTGGTGCACACTGACCACACAGACCCATTCTCTCACATGTGGGCCTACTAGCTTTCTCCTGCCTGATTTGAAGCCGCTAGAATTTATGAGTATATATACGTCAAACACGGTACCTCACAAACGTATATATACGGCCGCGACAGTCAAAGGGTTAATATCCTACTGTGCAACTATGAAATACTACTCCTTAGTATTAAGTAGAATGTAAGCCAATAATGTTAAGTTGGCCCATAATGCCTAGGCATAATAGAGGCTCTCTTTGTATTGCATCCCACTATTGTATATACACAATCTCAATGTACTGTTTGCAAAGACATTAAATAAATAAATAAATAAATAAATAAATAAATGGATGCTGGTCAGAGAGCCTGTCATAAGTCTGAGTCATCGGAAAATGAGTGCAGTGGTACCTTGACTTATGAGTTTAATTCGTTCCATGACCGAGCTCGTAACTCAGTTTGCTCGTATATCAAATAAATTTCCCTCATTGAAATTAATTGAAATGCCATTAATCCATTCCAGCCCCCCCCAGAAAAAACCACCCCAATTTTTTTTTATTATGGATTTTTATATAAGAAAAATGTATTTATAAATAAGAAATATTGTAATAAAACATAAAACATAATAAAAGAAAATGTAAAAAAGTAAACTGGTTTTATAAAGTGTATTTACCTTGGAGATCAAACATTTGCTTACGTCGGCGGAATTCCTGAGTCTCGATGGGCAGGAGAAAATACTTCAGTAGAATGCTATTATCAACTCTACGGCTTATTTATCTATCAGAATTGATCTAATATGATATAATAAACACTAAAAGTAACATAGAAACATCATATATACTCTAGAATGAATGAATAAAGGCCATAATATGGCGAGTGTCCAGGACCAGTTTGAGCATATAAAATCATTACTGCTCCTTCCTATAACGTGTTCTTTGGTCCTGGGTAAGAGAAAATGAGAGTTTTTGAGTGGATACCTGCACTAGATCACGGGAGGCCGGCCCGCATTCGTGGTGAATATCTCGGAAGTAAGTTATTGACTTATTTCACGAAGCCCACCATTTATTATTGAAATAAATGCAATAATATTGACAGGAATCATAAAAAAATGATTGTTCTACAGTTGGCTTGTGGAATAATGTAAATATTCCAAATATTTTGGGATTTGTTTGAGAGTAAAGAGCAAGATATTTTGCAAATGTCAAAACTTAGCAACTTTTTTTTTTGTAGAATAACTAAAGATAATTACACGATTACCTCCAGTAAGAACATTGCACTAGCATTGTTTTATAATTACCAAGTCCCAAAACCACCTTTCATTGTGCCATTTAGGTTGGGTTCTTGCCAAATGTCATTTTCAGTAAATATTTTTTTCATTTGTTTTTTGGCAAAATAACTGCTCACTCGTAACTCGGGTTTTGGCTCACAACACAAAGCAAAAAATCGACTGAGCAACGGCTCATAACTTGGAAAACTTGTAAGTTGGGGAACTCATAAGTCAAGGTACCTCTGTACATTGCTAAGTGAGGAGAGGCTGTACATAAAATTCACTTGTACTACTGTGCATACTGCATGTACAGGACACTAAATTCTAATAACATTCCTTCTCTGAAGCTCTTTCTTGAAAGCTGCAACAGAACTCATAGCCATAATACCAGACACAAAAATCTATGACATTTCACATGTCTGACTCATCCTGTGTAAAAACTCAATGTGCATAAAAGGATTTGTAAGTGTACTTGTGTGCCCTGTACTCATTCCATATTCTGTCCATCCTTTTGTCATATCTGTCTTCTTGGAGTTGGGTATGCAAGTTCCTTGATGTTTCTCTTACATACATAACAAAGCCTTGTGTAGGTAAAACATCATACTAATGAAGGTTTCCTTTTGCTGTATGTCTCTTATTTAACCCCTTGTCAGATATGCCTTACTGACTCCAGTCAGTGTTGCTGTTAAAAGCATCCCACAACTTATTTGTTTAAAATATTTTGCCCCTCATATTTCATATTTCATTCATGTAGATAAAGAAAAATTGGATATCAAATTGGGGAGGAGTATGGAAGAAGTAAATGTTTTCAGATACTTGGGAGTTGACGTGTCGGCGGATGGATTTATGAAGGATGAGGTTAATCATAGAATTGATGAAGGAAAAAAGGGGGGTGGTGCATTGAGGTATATGTGGAGTCAAAAAACGTTATCTATGGAGGAAAAGAAGGGAATGTATGAAAGTATAGTAGTACTAACACTCTTATATGGGTGTGAAGCTTGGGTTGTAAACGCAGTAGCGAGGAGGCGGTTGGAGGCAGTGGAGATGTCCTGTCTAAGGGCAATGTGTGGTGTAAATATTATGCAGAAAATTCGGAGTGTAGAAATTAGGAGAAGGTGTGGAGTTAATAAAAGTATTAGTCAGAGGGCTGAAGAGGGGTTGTTGAGGTGGTTTGGTCATTTAGAGAGAATGGATCAAAGTAGAATGACATGGAGAGAATTTAAATCTGTAGGAGAAGGAAGGCGGGGTAGGGGTCGTCCTTGAAAAGGTTGGAAGGAAGGGGTAAGGGAGGTTTTATGGGCGAGGGGCTTGGACTTCCAGCAGGCATGCATGAGCGTGTTCGATTGGAGTGAATGGAGACGAATGGTATTTGGGACTTGACGATCTGTTGGAGTGTGAGCAGGGTAATATTTAGTGAAGGGATTCAGGGAAACCAGTTATTTTTATATAGCCGGACTTGAGTCCTGGAAATGGGAAGTACAATGCCTGCACTCTAAAGGAGGGGTTTTGGGATATTAGCAGTTTGGAGGGATATGTTGTGTATCTTTATACATATATGCTTCTAAACTGTTGTGTTCTGAGCACCTCTGCAAAAACAGTGATTATGTGTGAGTGTGGTGAAAGTGTTGAACGATGATGAAAGTATTTTCTTTTTGGGGATTTTCTTTCTTTTTGGGTCACCCTGCCTCGTTGGGAGACGGCCGACTTGTTGAAAAAAAAAAAAATCATTCATCCACTGTGAACGGTTTTCTTAATTAAATCCAATAAATGTCACTTGCAGTCCCACTAGAGCTGGGCAAAGAGTGAGAATTACACTCATTCTTAATTTAAATGGAGTAAATGAGTAAGACTTTCTGTGCCTATTTTGCTTTCACTTTTTTGGTGTAATAATCATTAAAAATAGGCTTTTTGGGGGTTAAAACTTTGATGTTCTAGCAAGCTGATTATAGTACATACAGTGGTACCTCAGGATATGAACAGCTCAAAACTCGAACAATTATGTAAGTGTATTTATGTAAGTGCTTTTGTAAGTGTATTTTTGGGGTTCTGAAACGGATTAATCTAATTTACATTATTCCTTATGGGAACAAATTCGTTTGGTATCAGCACTCGAACAGCCTTCTGGAATGAATTAAGTTCATATCCCGAGGTACCACTGTACTCAAAAGTCCCAGTATTAGGATCTGTAAAACTCAAACTGTCAAATCTCTTAACAACAATGACTTGCTCTGGTATTTGTCTGCATTTCTGTTCTAAACTTTTAATTAATAAAAGCCATGATCTTTCAGAGAGTATGCTCTACGAAGAATTCGTGATGGCTTCAAGGCGGCAAAAAGTATCACAAATGAAGAAGATCGACAAAGAGAAATACAAATTGCTAAAGAATCATTAGAAGTTATTAAAAGACAAGTAAGATTTAAAAATTGCTGATCTGTAATTTTGTATCAAACTCTATACTGTAGCTTTTATTTAGCAGTTACAAGCACTATAAATAATGGAATAATACAAAATGTATCGAATGTATGCATGCAACCGGCCACCCTGGCTTGTAAACAATGACGGCAAGGCAGGCGCTCAGGCTGGATGGACAGGTTCGGGACAGGTTCGGGACGAGTCATGTTCAGAGACAGCTGATGGTGCAACAGCAGCTGACCGTGGTGCAGCAGCAGCTGACTGGTCCAGCAACAGCTGACTGGTCCAGCAACAGCTGACTGGTCCAGCAAAAAGCTGACTGGTCCAGCAACAGCTGACTGGTCACAACAGCTGACTGATCCAGCAACAGCGATTCTTAAATCTCTCCAAACCAACATTTGCTGGCTTTAAATTCACCAATATTGAGCACTAGTTCAGGGGTTTTTCCCTGTTCACCTGGGTGTTAGTCGAGTGGTGTGGGGTTGCATCCTGGGAGACAAGATTAAGGACCCCAATGGAAATAAGTTAGTCTTCGATGACACACTTTTTTGGGTTATCCTGGGTGGCTAACCCTCTGGGGTTAATTGTTTCTTGGTATTCTCAATAAGCCACACCAACAACGGTGCTACAGCAGCAGCAGCTGCAGCTGACAGTGCTACAGCAGCAGCAGCAGCAGCTGACAGTGCTACAGCAGCAGCAGACGATGCTACAGCAGCAGCAGACGGTACTACACAGCAGCAGCAGCAGACAGTACTACAGCAGCAGCAGCAGCAGCAGCTGACGGTGGTACAGCAGCAGCAGCAGCTGACAGTGCTACAGCAGCAGCAGACAATGCTACAGCAGCAGCAGACGGTACTACAACAGCAGCAGCAGCAGCAGCTGACGGTGGTACAGCAGCAGCAGCAACTGACGGTGCTACAGCAGCAGCAGCAGCTGACAGTGCTACAGCAGCAGCAGCAGCTGACAGTGCAGCAGCAGCAGCAGCAGCAGCAGCAGCTGACAGTGCTACAGCAGCAGCAGACGATGCTACAGCAGCAGCAGACGATGCTACAGCAGCAGCAGACGGTACTACAGCAGCAGCAGCTGACGGTGGTACAGCAGCAGCAGCAGCTGACGGTGGTACAGCAGCAGCAGCAGCTGATGGTGGTACAGCAGCAGCAGCAGCTGACGGTGGTACAGCAGCAGCAGCAGCTGACGGTGCTACAGCAGCAGCAGCAGCTGACAGTGCTACAGCAGCAGCAGCAGCAGTTGACCATGGTACCACAGTATTTCGATAATATTTCTCACCCTTTTTACCACAGGGTTGGCAAGAGAAGCTTTCTTGGGGCCCATGGTCACTTATTTTGCAGATAAAATCACCAAAAACACTGTAATAATAAGAAATGTTACGATTGTATGCTTGGTTTGTTACCGGGGAGGTTTGGCTTTTTAAAAAATTCCCAACCGGGGGAACCCTGTGAGGCTGGCTCGGGCCTCACATAGCCCGTGCCCTGGGAACGAACAGCTTTGAGGGGGTTTTTTTTTAAGCGGATGTGAGGCAAAATTTTAGCGATAAAATGTATGGGGTAAGCGATTTAACGTTATTTTAAGGCCAAGGGAAAGGGGGGGGGTCCTCTGTAGGGGCATTCATTAATTCCCTTTAAAATATTTGCAGTTTTAATTTTGGGGTTTAGGGGTGTTTTATTATAGGAAGTCGGGTTTTTGGGAAAGGGAAAACCACCCGGGAAGCCTCCCTACCCCGCCCAAATGAAATTGTAAAAAAATCAGACGAACGCGTCGGGTTTTTCCCATCACTTTACATTGTGTAGAATTGCCCCCCATGTTTTAAAAGTAGAATAAATAAAGAGAAACACCCCATTCTCATGTAACAGCATTTTTGAAGAAAAGATGCCCTAAGTAAGGCATACTTATACAGGACACAAAAAGTACATGGACCCCCCGGTTTTTCATATTTTTTTCCAAATTCCCGAAGTATTTCAATCCTAAAGACCGAATTTGGGTTTCCCCAAAAGGAAAATTGGGGGAATAAAGGGGTTTTCAATTTTTAAAACCCCCCAAAAAAAACCTAAAACCACTTTCATAATTTGGGCCCCATTGGGGGGTATTTGTTAAGCGGGGGGCCACTGTATAAAAATTAAACATTATAATAATAATTAGGGCCCCCTTTAAGGGGGGTTCCTTGATGCGGGGGAGGGGGTCTTGATCTAGGGGAAATTTGGGTTTTCGCTCCTTTTCCCCGAATTGAGTCGAATACCTCCCCTCCCACATGCGCGGATAATCCCCACGGGTTTAAACCTGCACTCCCTGATTTTTAAAAAATAATAATAATAATAATAAAATAATAAAAAAAATAATGATAAAAATTTAGGTATGTAGTCTGCCTGGGGTCATACCTACACCTACCTACATAGCACACGATATTTAAAAAAAGGGGGCCCAGACCAAAATTATTTCCCCTCGACTTACCATGTTTTCCCCTGATTTAATTTTTTTTTCTACCACAACCCTTTTGAATTCCATCAAAACAAAGGGAGAAGTAATGAATAATTTTTTTGCCGGGAAAATTTTAAAAAAAAAAGCGCTATGTATTAAGGGGGTGACGTAATTTTTTTTCCCTCCCCCCAGCTACCCCACCTCCATAGTAAAAAAAACATAAAAAAGTTTAAAATGGGTTTTGTAAAAGTGTTTCTTATAAAATTTTTTGAAGAAAATATCATAGGTTTGGGTTAATGAAAAATTTTATATTTTAAAATAAAATAAGACATTTTTAATTTTGCCCCTGAGTATTTTTATTAGTAAATTTTGTATGTTTCTCCCCCCGCCTGGGACCCCCCCCTCCATAGCAAATAAACAGCATGTTTATATGCTAGTAACATGTTTCTTATATAATTTTTAAGAAAAAAAACAAGTTTTAATTTAAAGAAAAAATTTTATATTGATGAAAATAAGACAATGTGCCCCCAAAGGGTTAAATTAAATTAAAAACGAAATTTTTTAATGTTTTTTCCCTCCACCCACAACCACACCCCCCCATAAACTTTTTAAACAAACAAATATATGATTTAAATTAGATTTTTTTTTTTTGACCCAAAATTTCATGGTTTTACAGGGGAATATAATGGTTGGGGGGACATCCCAAAAACCCCCCTGTTGCTGAGCATTTCGGGGGAAACTTAAAGATTAACTTAAGAATAGTTTTAGTTTAAAAAAGATTACAATGTAACAATTTCAAACAATTTACAATACATGTATGATGTATTACAGTTTAGTACTATTTAAGACAATGAAATTTGGTATTACAATGGAACAATTTACATTGTGATGTACTGTATTACAATCTACTACATTTAACCCCTAAACGTCCAACCAAGGTACCTTGTGGTAGCGCCAGTTAAATTGAGCACCAGCTAGAGCAAAAGAGCGCGGGAAACACCAAGGATTCACTGATGTAATGTCATATTAACACTTCTCTTTTAAGAGGAAAGTGACGTTAACCCCAAGTTTAGGGTCTGTTGATCTCTGTCTATCTCTGTCTCTATCTATCTGTCTCTATCTGTCTCTGTCTCTATCTGTCTCTGTGTATCTGTCTTTATCTGTGTCTGTCTCTATCTGTCTCTGTCTATCTCTCTCTGTCTCTGTCTGTCTGTCTCTGGCTTTGTCTATCTGTCTGTGTCTATCTCTTTCAATCTGTCTTTGTCTATCTGTCTCACAGGTACACAAATACAAGTATACGTAGTATAAATTACCTAAGATAACCCAAAAATCCAGACAAAGTGCTATACTCCGCTTGACGATGTGAGTAAAGGTGATGACGCAGTCTTGTGGCTCTCTCTGAGACAGAGAGCTAGACAGATAAACAGATAGACAAGGAGATTGACAGACAGACAAATAGACAGAAATGTTTGTATACCAGCAAAAACAAAGCGAGGGGGGTCGTCATCTAATCTTTTCTTATCAGCTGCACCCTCTCCCACCCTCATGTATGCTCATCAAACGTCAGATGTTATCTCAACTTCTCATGTCACTGTCAGGGGTGGACTTTGTTTTTCATGCTTCAAGGGAACTTAATATTACATATTATTATTATTATTCTTATTATTATTCTTATTATTATTATTATTATTATTATTATTATTATTATGTATTATTATTATTACTTATTATTATTATTACTTATTATTATTATTATTATTATTATTATTATTATTTATTATTTTATTCCTCCCCCTCCCCTCATCGCATCCATCGTCATTGTCTCATCAACATTCAATCACAACAACAAAACAACAACACACTACTAGTCCCACCCTACTCACCCTATTACTCCTCAACCCCACACTACTCCTATACATAACTACTACTACTACTACTACAACACTACTACTACTAATCTACACACTACTCCTACCCTCCAACCCCACTACTACTACTACCCCACTACTACTCACCTCCCCCCCTACTACTACTACTACACTAACTACTACTAAATACTACCGCTCCTCCTCCTACTGCTCCTCCTACTGCTCCTCCTACGCTGCTCCCCCTTCTATCCTCCTCCTCTACTTTCCCCCTCCTCCTCCTTACCCTCCTCTCCCAATCTCCCCCCTTCTCCCCCTCCTCCTACTCCTCCCCCCTCCTCCTCCCCTCCTCCTGCTCCTCCTCCCCCTCCTCCTCCTCTTCCTCCCCCTTCCCCCCCTCCCCTCCCCTCCTCCTCCTCCTCCCTCCTCCCACTCCTCCTCCCCCTCTTTTTCCCCTCCCACTCCTCCTCCTCCTCCCCCCTCCTCCTCCCCAAATCCTTTCCCCATCCTTCCCCCCCCCCTCTCTCCTCCTCCCCTTTCCCCCTCCCCCACTCCTCCTCTCCTCCTTCCCTCCTCCCCCTCCCCTCCTCCTCTCCTCCTTTCCCCCCCCTCCCCCCTCCCCTCCCCCTCCTACCCCCCCCCTCCCCCCCTCCTCTCCTCCTCCCCCCCTCCCCCCCTCCTACACCTCCTCCTACCCTT